TAATCGTTGCCACATGTTCTATTCAAATACTATAATAAAGCTAGAACGATTTATAAAAGAAATTAAGCAAACAAAACAAAAGAGAAACAATTTTTCACAGACGATTGAGTATTTCTCATTCAATTAATTCAGTTCTCATTTCGCGACAAGGCAAAAATACATAAAAACTCAAAATATCTGTATTAAAAATTACTAAGTAAATCTTAAACACTTATTTCCTCGAAAAAATTCCAGAAAGGATTAAGCATGATTTAATTCGCAATAATAAATGAAGGCGTTATCTTCGTTGTTGCGAAGCTAAGTTTCTCTAGATTGGCAATAAATCCACTATCCTGCTGTTTCAAATGTAAACAAGCAATGGAAACAAGCATCAAGAAAATTATTAGGCTTAGCGGCACTTAAACAACTTTAAAATTGTTGATAATTCTAAAAATATTGCATAGAGATTTACTGAAGGTATAAAAACCTTAATCGGAAGATAAGAACATAATTTAATCATTTTTAAAGCAAAAAATGTACAATTTACAAAACATATAAGAGTAAAGAAAGTGAGATCACTGAGCCGGGTAATAGAGTGGATATATATATAAATATATTTATATACGTTTGGTGCGGCCGATTGCAACCTAAATACGAGATGCACATCTACATGTTATAGCAGTCCTATAGACAAAATTTCAACGTTCTGAGGCTACTCGTTTTTGAGTTATGCGAGATACGTACATACGTTCGTACAGACGCCACGAAAAATTCTCTTCAGAATTCATTTTAAAGCAGTTTTATAATTTTTCTGAAGGAAAAGAGTATTTTATTCTGTACTTACGTACAGATATCACGCAAAAACATCGCTAAATTGCATTCGATAGCGGTCAAAACGAATATTTTCGTTAAAATATGCTGCCTGAAACTTTTCGCGATTACAATACTTCCTTTTTACTTTATACAAGGAAGTAAAAACGAACATCGCCAATTCGATATTCAGACGTCAAATTTAACAGCATTTTTTTCAGCGGGAAACGCCTTTCCTTCTGCTATAGACTGCAATATATTCTTTTAAAAACAGGTGTAGAAAATCGCTCATTTAATATTTTTTTATTATTCCCGATTTAAAAAAAGAAAAACGTTTGTTTTATAATACGCAAAATTTTCAAAACTTTATACCCGATACATTTTTACATGTTGAAATTTTAAAATAATAAACGTCAAATAATCTTAAAAAATTGAGCCATCTTCGAAAATTCAGTAAGTTCTTAAATTTTCATACAAATTTTATTGAAAAGTTTTCTTTCCGATCTATTCGATGGTGAGAACAGTAAAATCCTGATATGCTTAATTTGTTCGTTAAACGAAACTATGCGCGAAAAATTTTTAAACATTAAATAAGAAAATATCTAAATCGAATTTTGAAAGAATTGCTTAACCACATTGCATTATCATCGCCAAACAGTGTGTGTACAAATCTTGTTCTTCACAACTTATGAAGGTTTATTCAAGTTATTTAACAGTTAATTTTATTTTTAAGCAACTTTCCTATTACTCTCGCTTTCAAACCACACTTTCTCGCCAGAATATAAATGAGTTAGCGCGCGTGTAAAAAAATTTATTTTAAAGGGTAGGCTTTGGAAGTTGAATTTAGAGAAAAGGAGGCAGCATGTTCTGCCTGCCTGAAGGCCACGTTGTTATCTTTGATTCATCAGCGATTAGAGTTCTATGGTGTTGAGTGCTTCTAGCCACTCGGCTTGTTTACGACTACTTTTACAAGCCTGCCTACACGTTAAGTGACCCGTTGAAAGCCGTTAGGCTAACTTAATTCTATTCTATTTTAAGTTACTTGTTACCTTTTGAGTTAAGTCGGCTTGTGTATAGTTAATTGACCATTAACTTTTGCATGCCGTAGGAAAAAAGAAGCAGTTTTAATAATTGCAGATCCGCATATCGGCTGTTCAGATAGCTGTAGTTCTATATGTGTTACAATGCAAAAATTCAGTTCCGCTTTTTTGAAGGGCTAGCTTATTTTACATTTTAAGGCAGTAATCTCAAACTCGCATAGCGTGCGGGCCGCAAGCGCGATCTTTAAACAACTGAGAGACCAGAATTTTTTGTTTTGTTTTGTTTTTGTTGTTGTGTGTGTGTGTGTGTGCGCGCGCTTTTCCTTTTTTAATAAAAAGTTTTATTAACAAAATAAAAATATTTAAACACATTTTAAATTTCGCACATTAAACATTCATCAAAACATAATACACAATAATAATAGTATCATAAATTAAAACAACTCAAATTTATATTTATTTTCTATTTGAAATCAAGTGTTTGGTACCTACAACGCATTTATGCTGTAACATTTTGTAATTTAAGTGCACTGACACTCGGCATCCTTTGCAATCTCGCTTTGTAATTCTTAGACTGACGTTTCTTTCAAATAATTTAAAAATTAGTCATTAAATCATTTAATTTAAACTAAAAATAAGCAAATTATGAAAATTTTCTAATTTTTCAGAGATACTTTTACAAAAAATTTGAGAATAAGTAATTACAATCTAGTCCCTTTCTCTTATTTACTAAATTTATTTCAAGATATAAATAAAAATACATATGTTTGCACGTAAATAATTATAAACTTCTTTATTTCTTACTATAGGTTTTGATTCTGATGAAATTTATAGCCCTGGAGAGAAAACTGTGGGCGAAAAAAAAAAAAAAAAAAACCCTCCTGTTCACGTATAACGATTATATGCTTAGTGCAAAATTCGCAAATCTTCGAATAAGATTTATATTTCAGTGTAAATTAATTAACTCCGTTTATAAATTTTATTATACATTTTTATACGTATATTATTATTCTTTACATTCTGTTTTCTTTTAACATTCATGTTCGTTCAACTAACGTTTCGTTTTTAGTCCAAAGCAGTAATTTGCCCAGAAGGATTATTAATTTCGTTTTGGAATTTTGCGTTCGTTCACTATAAATGTCGGTTCACATTTCAAATTGTTGCCACCAAATGTTAGAACCCTGTATTATATTTAAAGAAATTAAATAATGAAGCATCTGCATAAATGCATGTATGTTTCTCGCATTGTGATAAAACAATGGTACCTAGAGTCATCAAATTTTCAATAAATTACGTTTTCACCCGAATATGGGCATCTGGAAGCCTAATTTGGAATTTGTTTTATTATCTACTAGCCGCTACGTGGCCAGCCTTAGTCTAGCTTTTAAATGTACCGGGAAAATGCCTGAATAGAACACCAAATATTAAATTTAAATACTGCACAGAATATTACTCTGAAGAACAACTTTATTAAAAAAAATCAATAAAAATGTATTATATATATAAAAAAATGACAATGAAATATGCCAATCTGTTAAAAACAGTGATGTAAGAAATACGATGAAAAATTGTTGCCAAACCCCTATTTCTAAAAGAATGAAACTATTCAAAATGATGCGATTTCATCAAAAATCTATCAACAACAATAAGAAAGGAAAATTGTTGCTAAAATCACATTTTTAAAGATGTGAGATGTGATACAAAATATTATCATTTTTCCAAAATTCTTTTTGTAAAAGAAATCTCAAGGATGAAAATTTAAAGTGTCCAAAAATCAAAGAAAATTAAATACGTTTTTAAAAATAAACTTTTTTAGAAAAAATCCCGTTGAAAAGATGTTAAGCTCCCTTTGTTAAATAAATTCGTATTGAATCGATTTATTGAAACACGAAATTTATTTTAAGTTCGTAAAATAGCTAAGTGTCTACGTTTCATGACGATGTGAAAATGCAGTGTGAAGAGTAAAATCTCGCTTTCCTATAGCCCATTATGTCTCAAAATGACACGATTTCGTCACAAAACATAAAATAAAAAAAAATTCTAATTCGAATTTCTAAAAAATCGCTTCGAGGTTCACTGGTTCTTGTCTAGATGCACCTATGTACCAAATTTCGTAGCCGTCGTCTATTAGCTTACGCGCAGCGCGAACAAAAGACACATACACATAGACAGACTCTTTCTTTTATTTTATGTAGAGATTTCGTATTTTGTAAAACTTCAACGAATTTTTGATTAACAAACTCAACGATTTAAAAGCGAGCGATGGCAACACTGTACAGGGGGGGGAGGGGAAAAAGCATTTTAATCTCCAGCGCGCGAGATTGTGTATCGGAAATTATAAAGATATGCTCATTTTAAAATTATTTTTCGACATTGCTCTTGAACTGAATTTTATGGTTTAAGTGCGAAGAACATGATATTTAATAAATAAAGGTAACACGCAAAACGTTAAAAAATGCCCCCTTGGGCTTAATGTAAAATCTTTTTTTATTATACATTTTTATACGTATATTATTATTCTTTACATTCTGTTTTCTTTTAACATTCATGTTCGTTCAACTAACTAACATCCTGAAATCTTTGCAATGCTGTATTTGCAATAAATGCATAATTGAAATGTCTTCGCGATCCGCTTAAAATTGTTTCAGTGGCCGCCAGTGGGAGACCACTGTTCCAAGGGCGGACTACAGATAGTATCTTTCAGATGTATGCTGAAGTGTCTAAAATTGTACTAAAAATTTTCTTTCTACTTTTTCTTTATCTTTCTTTTTGTTCTTTTCTAACAGATGATTGATTGGCCAGAAGTAGTAATGATCTGCATGGAACGTTTTACCTAAACTTCAAGAAAGATTGTCCAAATGCAAAATTGATATATCCAAAAGGATAAATAATTTATGTAAAATTGTAAATGTCGTGATAAAATGCATATGTAAAAGTATGTCGTTACGGAGAGATTTTTGAGGAAGACAGGATGTCCGAACCGTAATGTAGGATGTGAGGCTAGAATCTCTTCTTCCGGAAAGTAACATCTTGTAACTTTAGATATTTTAGAATAGCAAGAAAAAGCGGAGGTGCCACTCCTATCATCTTTCACACATACTTCCGGCAAAAATTCCTAATTTTCTTGAGAGCGTTCATGCAAATTAAGATTTCGAGATCGAACATTCATTTTTACGTCAGTTGGAGTTCGCGAGCGCCTGAGCGAAACTGTACAGTATGGCGCTCTGCAGCTATACGTTACCGTTTTACAGGCACATAGTAATCACTGTTATTATTCTATGGCATCTCCAGTAAGTAAAAATTTCAGTTGATATTTTATTATTGTCTGCGATTAACTTGATCTCAATGATTTGAATTTCATTTTTCAAAATAATGATACTATGTTGAAATATAAAAATAAATCGAAAGAACAGGTAATATATTAGTATAATTCACTTATTAGACAGGGCCCGATTTACAACAAAACCAGTTATGAAACTTTTCCTTTCCCAATAATTTTTTTGAAGTAGTTAATGTCGCTGCTGCTTCATGTCATGCATTTTATGACCTAAATTTATAATTCAGCATTTTGCATTCGAAATTATTTAAAATGAAATTTTCGCGTTTTTTGTACGTTTTATTTGCACGCCTTCAATTTAGTATATATTATTTAAATTTACATATTTTAAATTAAGATCAGACTTTTTTCTGAAAGAAATTGAGAAAAAGAAAAGAACCTAAACAATTCTTATTGATTTTAATACAAACCTCAATTAAATTATACAGATGCGATTAAATTAATGCAATTAAATAGTTTATCAGCTAAATAATGAATTTTTTCTTTCGCCCCCTGATTTCTTCTAATGCAGTGTTTCACAACCTTTTTTGTTCCGTGCACCCCTTTCACCATCGCTCGAAAATCATTCCCCAGTCCCCCTCTTTGCCAAAACTTCAAAAACACATATTTACATTTATTTAGATATAGATTATTTTTTAACGTTTTTTATAAATTAAACAACAAAAAATATAGAAAATATTGATAAATACCAAAACTTGAGTAAAAGTAGTTTTTTTATATTCATAAACTAAAACTAAATACTTAACATATAAATAAAAGGCTGACCGAATTTCACCAACTGTTCTGATATCCTTAATCTGTAAGCCTAGATATAAATGAATGTATATGCACTTTTCGAGTTTCGGAAAGGTGGGAGGAAGTGAATGATCTTCTGGCAAAGTTAAAAAGAGTGCATGCGGCAAAACATGTAGAGAACCAGAACATATAGCAGTTACTGAAGTTGTGTTGGAAAACATTCAGGCATAAGATTATCAAGATTTATAGTAGATATAAAGTGTAAATGTAATCGCAGTCTTCAACAGAAGATCTTAATGAATATTTGAATTAGCCAAAATTTGAAGTCACACATATTAATTGCAGGTGTATGGAAGATTCACATAAAATTCAAGTATTTGGAAGATTTTTTTACATGAAAGAAGGGAGTAATGTTAAATTTTAATTGATAATTAACTAATTATTAATGAATGTTTTAATTTTAACGTAATCCCCCCCCTTATTTAACTTGATTGAAACTCAAAGAGCAATAACCGAAAGTCGCTGATAGCATCTATCATATTCTTTGGTTAGTAAATTTTGTTTGTTAAAAATGTTGACAATTGATGCAAAATCTCTGTAAAATACTATAAAAAGGAAATATGCCTAAAATAAGACAAACTCAACCTTACATTGGTATTAACTTGAACTCATACACAATTCGAAAGAACGTGGCTTAGGTTTCTTTTATTCAAGACAAAAAAAAATATAAATTCTAGTGCATTTTTCCAAACCTTATAGTTTAAATACAAGGACAGAAGAAATAAATACATAATACTCGTAAATAAAAAAAAATGCAGAGTTAATTTTTATAAGTACAGAACTTTTATCATTCGATAAATTGTACTGAATATGATTTTATCCTAACCATTGAGTTTTCAAACAAGTATTAAATACTCTTTTTTATTTTTATAGGCAAGTTAACAGCGCCTATGAGGAAGACGATGACCATCATGAAGGTATGGTATTTTTAGTTGTAATAAATGTGCATGAAACCTAAAGCTGTCCATAAGGAATTAATTATATTGCAATTACCAACGATTTATAATTCTTGCCATTCGGTGGTATATAGGAAGTAACTTAAAATACTATAGTAGAAGGTAGACAAAGGGGTGAGATCTAGCTATCCTTTAAGACTTTGTTTGTTTTAGATGTTTTTTTAGCTAGCACCAGAGGTGCAATTAATCTCGAAGCGCGCTTTTTGTTCGAATCACTCTTCAACTTGTTGTCACAAAATGTTATCGGATGTATAATTTTTAAAGAAATTAAATAATGAAGATTAAGTATGTTTCTCGATGCCATCAAATTTTGAATACGCGTAGTCTTCTACTCGAACACGTACTCATGGAGACCCGAATACAGAATTTCGAATTTTTTTTTATTTATTCCATATTTCGAAAAAAATTTAACGCATTTTTGTTTAAAAAACTCAGCGATTTGACAGTGAGCAGTGGCAGCTTTGCAACTTGCCATTCGGAAAAAAATGTAAGCTTAAGTTATTTTAATTAAAATACTTTAATTATTTAAGCTGTTTTAATTAGCAGACTTCTCTGTTTGAAAGCAATGTGTTGCCACTACCGGAAATAAAATATTTTTATCTTCAACGCGCCAGGTTGTTGCCGTTCTTTAAAACTTTAAAATATTTTTATCTTCAACGCGCCAGGTTGTTAATGTTCTTTAAAACTTAAGATATTTAACTTTCAAATTTAGTATGGAAAGATACTGAGTAACAAACTAAGCAAACAATTTTTAAAAGCAAGAAACAAATATCTTAAGAATACTTTTTCTACATTTTAACATGATTGATTTAAATAAATATTCATTAAAATCATAAATTGTCTAATTAGACGTGTTAAGTATTTTCATGAAATTATAGCAGCTGGACTCGTTGAAATCATTATACACTTTTTCTTTTTTATGATAACTACTTTAGGCGGCTAGTTTTTAACCTTCCAGCACTCGCCGTATGCGCAAAATTTACGACAAATTCAGTTTTGCATTGCATTTCCATCTCACTAACATAAGAACTTTCGCTTATATTTCAATGAGATATCATTTGTATTTTGCAATAATAAGATTAATATTTTATTTCTTAACAAGTTTATTATCAATATTCACTCATTTCTATCGTTTTTCGTGCCCAAAACGGTAAAATAACGGATGTCGGAAAAAATACGACGCGTGCGTGCTCATGTAAAAATGCCAAGCGCACGTGCTGGAAGGTTAAAGAAATAACATAGTGAATATTAAAAAAAGTGTATGGCAACACTTAACACTTTATCGGGAATTCTAAAGATATGCTGTTTTTAAATATTTTGCGGTACTTTTCCGTCATGAAACTGCCAAGCTTTTTGGTCGTTGTGACAGAGAAGAATGTTTGAGAATACGAGCTCCGTCATCATTGATTCTGGTACTCCAGTGACGAACCTCACACCTTCGTATTAGGCGGAAGGTCGGGAATATCGTCAAAAAGGTCCTCATGAGGGGGTGTCTTCCTGTTTGCGCGGTTGTCAAAAACGTTCCTGTTTGCGCGAAATCATCAATCTTCGTTACCCCCCTTCCAAAGGGGTTCCATAATGGTGGGCCGACTGGGCGTTGGCCTCTTCCGAAATGTAGGAAAGCAAAAATTTTTTAGATTTAAAAAAAATTTTTTTTTAAGAAATAATCGAAAGATATTTACGAAGTCTGAGTCTTTGTTTATCTTTGCATAAATGAAGTACTGTATTTAAAAGGGAAGAGATGTTCAAACTCTGCAATGATTTTGGCAATGAACTAAAAGATCGTTTCCTAAAGTAAAAACAGTATTTTTTTTTTTCCGAAATTCTGCATAAAGGTGAATTATAATAAAATCTCAGAATATATATTCGTTGCGAAAAGAAAGGCAGATGAGAAGAAAATATACCTCGAATATCAAAACAGCTTCTGAGAAAGCTTTATCCTAGCTAAAAGAAGCTTTTTTTTCCTAGCTGTAAATTGTCAAAGTCATAATTCAGAAATATAGCATCTGAATCTCAATTGAATGGACTTGCTTTACTTGCATTCATCGGAATATCCAAATACATTAATAGAAACCATTGATAAATTTATTAATTGTCAAAGGTAAATTTGTTAGTTTCAAAGATTTAATTCAGAAATTCCAGAAGCATAGCGCACGATTCAGCAGTGATTGTATATATTTATCATACAAATTTAAAATAATTAATTATGTGTATATACTTGTTAGTAATTATTGACTGTAAATATAAATAGTTAAAGAGTATATTTTAAATAATTTATTTTTATATACACATCTGTATTTGTATATAATGAAATTGCTAATTATTATCAACTTATTTGATATTATTCATTTTAAAATGCTCTTTTTCTAAATCTCCTATTCATCTAGCTTCTTTTTAAAGAGAAACTGTACTTTGTGGGTCACTTTCAATTCCAACTGTAAATGCGATTCGTAATTTAATTTATTCGTATGGTGGCAATATTAAAAACTTCGGAAACACTGGTTCAACAGTTGTAACTGAAGAGTAAGTACAATTAGCTTCTTTAAGGCAAATATCAAACGACTTAAGTTTACTCTGACGATGGATATTTAAAAAGTGGAGAATTCAGTATTCGTCGAATATTGCGATATTCTGATAATCCCTTAAAATTCGTGCTTTCGAACTCTCTGAAAATCCCTTAAAATGCATGCTACAATTAGAAAATTTAATAAATTTGATTACAGTGTGAGGTTATTAGGTTTAATCAATGCAGCAAACGTGAAAGTGCCCTCCCTGAGTCTCGAACCCTGGACCTCGAATACACGCCCAGTATGCTTCCAATTAATCACGAAGGCATGCGGAAAGAAGGCAGAAAATACCTTATAACTAAAATTATCAATTTAATAACAGAGAAAATTCAACTTTCCTTCACACTTTTCCAGGTTTAGGACTGGCAGTAAAATACTGGCGTGTTTAAAAGTTGTGTGATGTTAGTCACTTTCCCCCCCCCCACTTTTTTTTAATTATTATTAAGTTATTTTTAGAGAAAATTTTCATATGTTTTAATCGAATTTTTGTAGATAAGAAAGAGATAATAAGCACTTTCTTATATTTTGTGATGAGTAAAATTCTTGCATAATACGTTGGATTCTTTCCTCTTTTTTGACCACACTTGTTTTCCTTCTTTTCCCTTCTAAATTTACATAACGACGAGCTATAAAATAATCACTTTCTTTAGCTTCGTTTTTCAAAAATTTTATCAGTTCTAGAGTTTTAGGATGGATTTTCCTAATAACAGAATTTAATTTATGATGCCATCCTTCAACAATATTATTTGTCCTGTGCAATTTGTCATTGCAATTCCACATCTGTATAGTTACGACGTCATTTTCAAGCCACTGCTCAACAAAGTAATCATAAAATGCCTCTAATCTTGCATTACGAGGTGAATTTTCTTGTATGCACAGCCAACCATCGTCGACACATTCCGCGGGTATGTATGCAAGGGACGCGCACATTCTAAGATAGGTTCTAATTTCTTCATTATGCCTATATTCGTTAACAAGTCCCAAGTCTTGAATCTTTCTCCATAGACACTGATTTAAGTGGAAATTGCAACCTCTTATATTTAAGGAAGGAAAAATATTTTTCAGCGAAATTATAACTGCAATTTCAAAATCCATCACAATTTCTTTAGGATCCCAATCAGAAATAGGATTTTTAATTAAACGAAATAATCTCTCATAAGTCTGCTTTCGCTTACCGGGAAGTAAGCAAAACAACACAGAAACAACATTAATCTCATTAGAGGTACTTCCAGTATCAACATAGATAGTATAAATTTGAGAGAAAAGCTTTGAGCAACTTTTAAAAGTTCCATCCATAAAGAAAGTTTTGCGGCTTTTCATTGCTTCCCTCCCCTTCTTACTTGAAAATACCAAAATTCGGCTATCTTTTAAATCATCGAACAACAAGAAACTAAAGTTATCATTCATTGCTAATAATTCATTAGGAATTCTAGCTACGTCTTCCATACATGTAGTTTCTCGATCGTATCCTTCGGCACTTTGCCTAGATTTGTATAGAGCTGTTTTAACACTTGAAAACTGCGGAATATTAGATGTCAAAGTCTTGATTGTATAGTTTTCCAACTTCTTCACTGTAAATTTCAGAAAGTAGAACATTTTCTTCTTTCGCTCTCATTTTTGCTACAAATATTTGTTTTTTTACTAAAGAATGTGCTGTATCAGGTTGACATAAATGAATTTTTTCTTCTAAAACAACTTCTTCCTTGGTCTTAATTGAACTTTTAGTTTTTTCATTTATGCAAATCCAATAAACTACATTTTCCTTATTTCTATTCCGAATTCGATATTGATAACCTTTGTAAAGGGCTAAAGGCTTTTTCCTTTTTAGTTTTAGTTCCAATAATGCTCTAAAACATCCATATTGATTAATATAAGATACGAAAATAACAGCTAATACTAAAGCACATTTAAATTGGAATGAAACTAAAGATTTCGAGAGGAGCCTAAACTAAGACACGTCTTTAGTCTAACAATGTCAAGACGATGATTAAGTTATTCACAAAGAAACTGGCCAACTCTTCTTAATGACTCATCCTGACATCCCCTGAGAAACTTTGGGAGGGGGACTGTACTCCCCGATTTCGCGCAAACAGGAATATTTTTTAAAAACGCGGAAACAGACCTAAATCCATCAGGGAATCCTCGTTGCGAATTGATCAACCGCTTCGCAATGGGATCCCGCTCCACTGCGCCAGTTTTTTTCAAAATTTTGAACTCTCTGGGCACCCCTCGCTGAATCGGGAACCCAGGGTCACCACTCTCGGGCACAGGGAGACCACGAAGTGTGGGAAAGCCTATTGAAAAAAAAAAAAAGTTCTGGCTAGCCCACTCGGATTGCCGTAGACACGAGCGTCCGGAACGGCATTGGCTGCCCTTCTGGCCATAGGAACAAGGTCCGTATTATTGTGCCCCCAGAGCCGCTACTGTCATAGTATTGTACTAAGCCAGTGCGCGCAGCTCCAGGGGAAATTGTGAAAAGAGAAGCCAAACAGATGCTGACAGGCAACAACATCATCTGGAGACTATGTGTGCATATGTTTGTGTGAGTGTAAACAAGAATAATTATAAAGACACACGAACATATTATTGCAATAGCACCACCAAAATATGTGGCAGGTGCATAACGGAAAAAGTACCGTTTTGGGATTTTGCTGTTAAATTTTATGTGGTTTAAGGGCGAAGAAAGGCGATATTTAATCAATAATGTCCAAAACACAAAAGTTAATAGCAACAAGTAATATAAAAAAAATCAGTTACTGTGGTTTAGGGTCAACAAACTTAGGTCAACAAAGAAAAATTTTATTTTAGTTACTTTTTATTAAAATTTTTTCGTTTCTGATTTATGAACCTGATGGTGGTCTATAATTTCTCATTCTATCCATCTCTTGCAATGCTTCATTATTACAAGGAACCTTTCCAGTGAGTTTCGAGCACTACAGTTCTTCAGTTAATATTCCATTTAATGATTTCACACGACTCAAGGCGACATATGATTGACCTAGTACGAAGAGGGGCTCTAGTGTGGTACTGGATACCCCTTCGATTAGCGACAAATTTTGTTCAATTTTAGCGATGAAACCCCATTTCTGGTTACCGTAAATTTTGAACTGGGAAAAAAAAAGTTGTTCACATGTAAATGTGACAAAGAGATTATTCTTATTCCCAAAATTTGTAACCAAGCGTATTTATTTTTTCGCAATTACGAATGAATGCAAGTTAATTAAATCTTTATTTTCAAATCTTTGAATAAGATTTATATCGCATTGTAAATTAATTAGTTCTATTTATAGATTTTTCTGGTGCATTATTTACATTTGTTTTTAATATAAACTCGGACTTCAAGTACTTGAAACTTTTTTATTTCAAGTATTCGAAAGTAACGTAAACTTGGACTTGAAATATTTTTAGCATTCTATCTGCAACAAATACATAATTGAAATGTATTCGCGGGTCACATAAAATTGCTTCGGCGGCTGCATGCAGCCCATGTGAGTTTGAGATACGGCTGAGGGTAACAAAAACGTTTTTTTTTTTTTTAAATTATGCCGGTTTTATAGAAATTTAGATTCTAAATCCAAAGGTAACGTCAGATTTATGCTTTTGACAAGACTTTTCATAAGTTGCTTTGATGTTTTATTATTGGAATACGTGATTGAATGAAACAATAGTAATATAACATTGCCACTAAAATGCATTTCATAATCTCAACTGAATGTATTTAATCAAGAAAGTTGTAAAACATATATATATAATAAAGAAAAAATATTAGTTTATTTCTCTTTACCACTGAAACTACTAATTTCGCTTTTACCTTTACCCACTGCTTCGGCATTCAACAATAATCCCTCGTTCAAAAGACATTTCTGTCTTATTCAAACAGCTCTTTTAGGGTATTGATGGAAATCATACATTTTCTGTTCATCTCACCTAGATTTTCTAGAGAAAATATGCGTGTATTCAAGAAATGCTTCATACGACTTACTAGTAAGCCCCTCGGTTCTATAACAAATCGAAGAATGCTTTAATTGAAATGACCATCCAATGCACACTGCGGGGAAAAAAAAAAAAAAAAAAAAAAAAAAAAAAAAAAAAAAAAAAAAAAGGACAGTTCTATATCTCCCGTTCTACTGGGCCGATTGACAAAATTCAACTTGCGTTTTTCATGTCTCGAAAGCGCGACTTAGGATATGTATCATATTTATATATAGCATTGTTATAATATAGGTATTTCGACACAAAATCGGACCTTTGCTTCGTCATACTATTAACTATGCCATTATCTAAAATGTGATACTTTATATAAAATTGTGGGGTGCGTAATACGCCCCGTAATCATGTGTGATGAAGAATATGTTTGGATAATTAGTTCGTATGCACCAATAAAAGTTATATTTAATTCGGCCACGTTTGTCTACAAGTCTTTCCTTGGAGTGTCATCTATCTAACTACGCAGTAAAGTCTCCCCAGGATATAACGTAATTAAAGGAAAATTATATATGAATGTATATACGTATAATTTTCCCTGATGAGCAATATACTATCTTAAAACTATCTTAAATTGGAACGGATTCCTTATAGTACCCCGGTATAACGCAGTTCCACAGCTATTTCCTGTATTGTTTATTTGGCTTTTAATGTTCGACAAACATGTGAAGGATAATGAATCACGAAACTATAAGGTTCTTATGTTAATTAATGAGTTATTATGATTTTTATCTTTACTATAATTACTTTTCCGTATTCTCACCAGAATGCAAATTACTTTTGAGAGTACTGAAGCTGAAGGTTTTTAGATCTTATTTCAGAGAGTTCTGGCATTCGCTTCGCGCTGTTAGGATTTCTCGACAGTTCTAGTTAAAAGTTAATATTCCGGCTTTTGCATTCTTGCTAGTGGATTGCTTTTAAACTTATTATGCTCCGGTGAAAAATCTAAGTCAGCTTATTTCTTATTTCAATGAGCACCCAATGCAATTAGATTTTGTTAATTAGGCGCCCCATGCTTTTATTATTGGTGATATAAAATTGTAGATTACTTCTGTAAATAAAATTACCTAATCTATTGTTCCCATTAAACTATGTGATAAACTGTTTTTCTCCTTTTAGTTAATTTTATTATCAAATCCATTTTAAGTAAAAGCTTATTGTAGAAAAACCTTTTTTTTTTTAAAATTGAATTTTATTAAAGTAATATTTTAAAGATAGAGATATCTGTAAAGGATTCCGAACAGATAATTTTATGAGCGCTTGTATATGCGTAGTATTATTTACTTGTTAAACTATATTTAATATTTAACTTCTGAATTTTTTTCTTTAAGTAAGTCTGTAAAATTCCGTTATATGCAAGAATATTACGAATATACGAATACGCTCTGAGAGCGATTTATGTAACTGAAGGCCCAAAGCAAAATCTTTTAAACAACCACTCCACCATTTTTTTCTTCATAATAGCTTTCACAGATGTAAATTATATAAGAAATTTTATGAACTAACATTTTTATGAATGAATTGAATTTACAAAATTTTTGTTCCTTTACTATTTCAGGTTATGTTCCGATGTTACACGGAGAAATTGACGGTAAGAAATTTCGCATTTCTTTACCAATAAATTCTGACATATAATCCCAGGCAGAATGCAATCTTAAATTGCACACGAAAAATAATTTACGAATGGTCCTTCACATAAAAAACATGAAACCTGAACGTAAAATTAAAATATCATAGAAGGTGTCCGAAAAAAATGGATATTTACCTATATTTTGACGTTACAATAAAATGTAGATATTCCAATTTTTTACTTGTCATGTTTATATATTTTTAGTACAAATTTACGTAAATCTGCTTAATTTTTTTTACTGAGCATAAATGTTTACTTTCGGCAAAAATATATGTTAATTTTCCCAATCTTTTATTTCGCATATGAATGCAAAAACACCGTTTTAAACAAATATGATTTTCATATACTGGTGCTTTTAGTTACATCTCGATAAAATAGAATATATGTATATAAAGTATATATCAGACATAGTTATACTTTTGCAATGTTTGTAGAGACATTAGGATTTTTTGAAAGCAGGAGATGTGAAAAACGAGCAATGCCCTTGCCGGGAATCGAACCACGGACCTCTCGAATACGCGCCGAGCGTGCTGACCACTACATTATGAAGGCATGCTAAGAAGGCGGGAGAAATACCTTATATGATTACCATCGACACCTATTTTGCAATTCTCTAAAAGCTACTATTCATTTTTAGAAATCTGTGAAATATTAAATGTATTTAATATTGAAAGTAGGATATTATATCAAAGCAATTATTGCGATCAGAAATAGAAAGTCACTGTAAAATACATACTTATATTTAAAAATTATTTTTTTATTATTCTGGTCATTTATAAAGATATTTTGAAAGAAAGTTTACAACAATTAGTAATTCCTGATTTTAAATATGAGTAATTTGTATGCATTTATTGTTTACGATGAAACATAATTTCATCTGAAAGAAATCATAAAAATAACTGCGTATTTCGTACGCATAAACAATTTAAAATTCCGGAGTATAATTCTGCTATTATTCAAAAGTTCTTAAAACTATCTTTGAAATAATACATTATTAAAATTTATTAATTATTTTTATAGTAACGTATTAATTACTCTTAAAAATTTCAAACAACTTTTTAGTGGTAACATACTTTAGGGTTATTTTAACATTATTATTGTTTTATTATTTAATCTTAATTTTATTTAACATAAGGGCATTACAACATACGTTTTTTTAATATAAAAAACATAAGGACTTATTTTTAAAAAAATCTTATTTGCATCAAATTTGAATTCGGAAAAAAAAAAAAAAAAAAGTTAAATAAATTTTGAACAGCTTGGAATAACGCCTTGACTTCCGGAAACTACATCCTGTGCTAATGCTAGCAAATTCAAAACTAATATTATGCACTTGAATGTCATAAAGCTACTTCAAAAATTATGATAAAAAGAATTTGCAGTTATTTTCATAATTAAAAAAGCTAAGTCTTCTCCTATTTCTCCATTTTTTTTCAATGTATGTTTTTCCCATATGTTTTCACTGTATGTTTTTGTCATATGTAATCAAAGAAAGAAATTAATGCCAAAATATCATGACTAAAACGTTAAAAATATCATGACTAAAACGTTAAAAGTATCATGACTAAAACGTTAAAAATATCTTGACTAAAACGTTAAAAATATCATGACTAAAACGTTAAAAATATCATGACGAACGTTAAAAAGTCCACATAAAAGCTCCTTTCAAAAATCTTCTGTCATGAATATTCACATGAAAAATCTTGGCACAAATATTGCTAATAATTTCAGCGCACAAATAATGCAAAACTGTGAAACATTTTAACAGTATGATAACATTTACCATAGCTACCAACTATTTTGGTTTCACCGTCAGATTCTTGATGTTTCACAGTATCTCGCGATAAATAAACGAATCTCCTAGTTTTTTTTAAAATTTTTGGTCTTTAGAAGAGAAAAATTTCCTAACAATAAATAAAACGAAACATAATGTGGTACTTTTCGAATTATGACATATTGCTTTGTCCTGATGAAGTTTCCCCTCTTCGAAAATCACTGGGATAAAGAAATGGAATTTCTTCTGTAAATATCAAAGTAAAACTTTGTGTCTTGATAGCACGTTTAGTTGACTGTAATATATTTTCCACTCTTCTTATTTTTAATTTCCCACTGTAAGAGAATCTTGCGACTGTCTTAAACCCCTTACCGAAACTTTCTTATTGACGGAACCAAGTTTATAAATTTTTTTCGATAATAAATAGACCTTTTTTACTTACAGCCCTTTAGGTTCATTCAGGGTCACAATGTATTTCCATTTGTTTTCTATTAAGTAATTGTCATACAGAGTTCTACAAATTATTCTGCCTTGAGCCACATGCCCTGGCAAAAGGTGGTGAACATTACTGTATTTACCTTTTTCAGGCTGTAAATCTGGGTTTATTATTTTTTTGATTGTTGTTACAGATGTACCTAAAGACTGTAATTGGCTTCTGCGTCCGCGAATTTTCTCTTGTTACCAATGCTTTATAAACATCAGAAACAGTACATACTTTCTTCAGGTAATCGTTTGGAATCTTCTTTCAATACAGATGTAACTACTGACAGTTTTTCCGATTAATAATGTTGCTTATTTTGCATTCAGAAATTTTAACACCGTGCATTTCACAACGTTTTTCAATTAGAGAATAGGAATAGTTCTCTTCGGGAATGCGCAGAAACATATCTTTGAATCCCTAGCTTGTTTATATGCGACATTGAATTTTAATTCCATTTGCTAATTTACGAATGCTAATTTATAAAAGATCACACAAAAGTATTTATTGGAAAGAATAACAACTTACGAAATGTACGAAATGTACGACCGTACGAAATGTATTATTATTATTACTTGTGGGTGAATTATTTCGTAAGCTTTCTGTACATAGATGCGAATATTACTATTCCTTTTTAATATATCTACTTCATCTAATAAATTGAAATTTAAAAAACACCTTGTCTGTCCAATCTGAACATAAAGTACATGTCTTGTAGATGGACCACAAAAATTTCATTAAGCCTTATAAAAGGATGAAAATTAACATTACATATCCACCTAAAATTAACATATGTATATAATGTCATTTTCATATGTAGCCCAGCTTATGTTTCAGGCCTTAATTAAATACTTGAAATTGTACTTGTATAGCTATAATAATAAATTTAAATTACTTTATCATGTTAATGAAATATTTTATACGATTTTTATATTTCAGAAATGTGCGAAGAGCCCCCTCCTCCTATGAATGGCGAAATTAACTGCGGACAGAACAAGAAACGGAAAAACAAGTAAGCCCGCAATATCAGCTTGAAATTTCAAACGTATTTAAAGTTTTTTTTTTTTTTTTTTGATATTTTCTGAAGATCAGCATCCCAAACATAATAATATGCTGTCCCATCGGTGTTACAGAAGATCTTTACTTAATTGCTATAAGGAGTTTAAATTTTGAATTGCTGTAGGGGACTAGATCTTATTTTCTTGTTGTTGTTGCTTATGCTCACTTGTCTGATGTAGTCAGCTCAATTCCACAAAATTCCTCGTGGCACGGAGAGCTAGATTACTCTTGCCGTTGGCAACAGCCTTGAGCACATTCAGGTGACAGTGCGATTTAGCTCAGTTCCGCCCCGAATTTTGATGGAGACCACTCCCGGGGAAGGGGTCCGAGGGTCTCACACACCTCTCCCCTTCCTCCAAACCACACGAGAGGTCTTTCGGCTCGCCGCATATTTAGAGTGCCGCCATGCCGCACCGACACTATACATTTACAGACCTCTATGCCTTCTCTGGGATTCGAACCCGGGCCTTCGGCACAGCAGCCAGCGACTCTAACCACTATACCGATTGGGCGGCTTATTCTCTTGTGTATATTGGAATGCAAAGTGCTTGTTTAATTTGGGAGAAATAATATAGTTAATCGTTTACTTTTCTTTCTTTGAAAGGAAAGCTATTTCAGCTGCTTTTCAGTGTCAGTCTTGATGTATTTCTGAAAACTACGGTTTTTCGAAACATTGCTCCTTAAAGGTCGTCTTTTCTTCAAACTGCAGATGCTTATGAATGCTCTAATATTGTCGTGTCTGTTTCATACATTTACGCCTTGAATTTTAGGACAAGCCAGAAATCAGTTGCCCCTACATCAGAAAAGTTAGATGGAGAATGAACCAGGCAGATCTTCTAACCTCCAATGAAATCATCACGGGCATACTTGTCACTACGCTCGAATATTTCTAATTGTCCGCCACAAGTTCTACGATTGCAATGGTTCCTAAAATGTAGCAGATGGCTTAAAGAATCACATAGCGTTGTCTTTTCAGACGAATCTTCCTTCTGGTCTGCTAGCTAATGATGATTAAATCCGTGTTGAGTCATACCCGGATGAGAGCCCACTCGCTCGACATTTAGCATTGTGATACGGCCATTCATTGAATTCCAGTCTGTCATGCCTAGGACGCATTCCTGATACATTGAATAGCCACCATCACATCTCTGAGGTGTTACAGCCTGTTGTTCGTCCTAGGCTTAAGGACTTGCTTGCCTAAGTTAGCTGCCAATTAAGCAATGCTCAATCACATTGGATGCAGTGTTCAAAAATTTCTGATTGCGTCTGTTTTTCATTTGTTCTCTGGCTTGTGCATTCGCCGAGTCGCCTACTGAATACTGAACATGTCTGATCCATATTTATACAATAACTGGCATACCTTTGCTGCTTTTCAGGGGTATCAAGAATGAACATTTACAAACTTGTCAAAAACCTCAGGGATTGACATAAACCGAACACGTATGAAACGTCTCATCCTGTCTGCGCTAGGAAGCGTAACGCCGCTCTGTTTTGATTTCGGAGGATGCTGATTTTATATATTCCGCAAGTAGAATCGAAGAGTTATTACATCCATTTTATTCTCTCTAATTGTGAAATTTTAAATCAAAGTCTGTCTGACCTTATCAGACTGACAAGCAAGTTATCGCTTCATCTAAAAAATTATGACAAAGTCCCAAGAAAATTGTAAATAACGTTTTCATTAAATCTTTAATGAACAGAAAGCACAACTTCTCGGTATGAATAAACTTTTGCGAGTATTTAAAATAACAAAGCTGAAGTTTTAAACTGAAGATAATGTAGTCGAAAACTATACAGTTTGTCCAATTTAAGCTAGCTGAATATTTTATCGGCGCATTTTCAAGTTCGAACAGCAGTATGGTTAAAACCGAAATACTCACTGGCAGACCTGGGCGATAGAACGTAACAGGCGACGGTGCCAATGGCTGTACATCTAAAGTATTGGAAGAACCCTTGATTTAAATACCGTACCATTTAGTTTGCATCCTAGTGAGAACAATGAAAAGGAGAAGTTGTAGTAAAGGATTAAATCATAAAAATTGGTTAATTGATATAAAATACCTTATATGTTATGTAAAAAATTAATATAGCTTTGACGGGCGTTAAGTAGCAATTTTCTTTTTGTGGCTAGCAATGTGAGTCGTGTATATATATTAAGTACTTTCCACCAGTTATGTATCACTCAGAATTGTCTGATAGTACATATTCATGAATTCCAGTATTTAGAAATCTAGATAATATGAATATTTAATTCGCGTTGATTTAGTAATTTCATTTCACTTAAGCGTGGGATTATAACGGAGACTAGAACGCTATAAAATACAGACTGTAATATATGCTCTTGTTATTTTAGAGAAAAAAAAGTGTCAAGAAATTTTAACGTTTACCTTTTTATTTGCACTTAAGGTATGTTTGCCGAGCCGAATGTGAGCCTGGATTTGAGTTTCCAAATGGAAAGTCAAAGAAAAGACACATCTGCGATATGGAAACTGGGAAATGGTCCCCCAAATTCATATTTCCTGACTGCAGACGTAAGTATTTACAAATACTTAGATAAATTGTCAAGTTTGAAAATTTTATAATCTGATAACTGAATTATTTTAATCATAGAAAATGTGTCAGACGTCATGCATAAGACAAATGTTTAATAAGACTACCGATAAGTTAAATATTTATATTTTTTACAGCAATTTGTAACCCGCCTTGCGAAAACGGGGGCGAATGTTCTGATGCTAATCATTGCATTTGCACGGCGCAGTACCGAGGGGATAGATGCCAGTACGGTAAGTACTAATTACATACTAAGAACGAAAGCATTCTTATTACTCTACTTACCATTTTTTTTCTAGTTTACTATAATACAAAAAATACAGAAATATATTTTAAATACTTGTTATTTTTATATAAGTGTTGTGCTAGATATAAGTAATTATCTTACAATATCAGGACTGGTATTCCTCTTTACTTGCTTTGGGAAACATTAACTGTCCTGACTCGGAACAGGGAGCTTACTAAAGCTATGTTCAATAAATTGTGAAGTAGACAATACACACAGGAAGGGTATACGAAACCCTTTATTTTTCTATCTTTATAGAGCCTTCCGGAACTTCGGAATACAGAGACCAACCACTTGTGGTCTGAACGTAAGAATACTAATTAAAAGCTCTAACTAGAACTAACTTTGGATTAATATACAAGTGCCTACTTTAAGGTTGGCCGTAAATTAACAAAAAGCCGTATGTAGTACAGAGAGCTGCTAAAACTACGATACGTTTAAAATTATCAAGAGGATTAAACCTCTGGCCTTGAAGGCAACCAGCAACCGAGTAAAAACTACTATGGCAAGCGGCCTGCTTCTAATAACTCCTTCCTCTCTCTTGCTTGGCAAAAAGCCACAACTTAAGTACTTGGCGTTAGCAAGACAAATTTGCAAAATAAGTTAAAAGCTTTTAATTCTGGCTGGAAGTAGAAAATAAGAAGTGATACTAAAGATTTAAAATAAAATAAACGTTAGTAAAACAGGATCCTTACATACTTCCCGCCAGAGTTAATTAGTTTGAAACTGAGGTCTAAAATGACCTTGTTGAAAACTTTTAGCTCTAGAATCTAACGCGAGGCCAATTTTTTACAAACATTTCTCACTAGAAACTAGAAATTAAAAAAAGTCGTTTTTACATTATCAACTCCATGGACAAGATTTTTCATCTGTACTGCATCTAAACAGGAGTTTCTTAGTTGAAATCTGGTTCCTTCCAGAGATCTTCTTATTTGATTCATGACGTTATTTAATTATCTCCCCGTGCTCTCTGACATGTGTTGTAAAGGAATAGACCAAACACGAGCGTGTCTATGTACAAGTGTTCAACACTACCGCCTGCAATCAAAACACTAACGTGTTAAAATTCAACATAACAACACCTTTCATTAAACTAGTTTTCCTTCCAGAGATCTGGAAGGAAAACTAGTTTAATGAAATGTTACACAATTAAATGGCAAGTAACATGAATACTTATATTTCTCTTTTAACATTCTTATTTGATTCATGACGTTATTTAATTATCTCCCCGTGCTCTCTGACATGTGTTGTAAAGGAATAGACCAAACACGAGCGTGTCTATGTACAAGTGTTCAACACTACCGCCTGCAATCAAAACACTAACGTGTTAAAATTCAACATAACAAGACCTCAGAACACACCTTATATTTATCTCTAAACCCTGAGGTACTATTCTGAAAAGTGGCTAACTCTGAAGTGTAGCGTCAGAGAGCCTAACTACATTCATTCAACCTTTAACACATACTCACAATAATTTGCTCTTTTTACAGTCACACGAATAAGTTAAAATTTTTTGGCATTACTTTCACTTTTAACATATCACAGTATTTCTTACTTTTAAGATAACAGATCACATTATATATAAGTACATATTAACATTCCGTTAATTTTACGCATTTTAAAACATACATTAGTAGTACATTGTTAACTTCTATTCTTTTCCAAGCCAGTGCCAATTCTTCTACATTGAAATACTAAATTTCAAAAGTCTTTCAGACTAAAACTTCTTTCTTGCCAGAATCTTTTAAATAAAATTTTATGCAATAACTTTTACAATTTTCTTAAGGTACCTTTCTCAAAGATTATCAATGCTTTTACAATATTCAAGTATTTACACATTCCTATTATACATTAATTTTAGTTTTACTCGCGAGTAATTGAAAAACGTAATACCAAAATAGGTAACAACTCATTTTTCGCCTTTTTGGCGATAAACGTAGGCCTCACATGAGGTAAAACTTCTTGAATTCTGCCACTTGCAGTAAGAATGAAAAATTAACTTAAGGTTTCAAAGTAACATAAAGTTTTATTTATCTCTGTGATATTCAGACATCCTTTTTTCTGCCCAGTCTTGGAAAGTGGCGAAGACTACAGTCTGGTTGATCTTCCTTCTTGTGCGGGTTCGCCCTTCTTTCCTTCCTCCATGAACTTTCTTTTCCTTCCAGTTCGGTCACCCTTGAAGACCTTCTTTTTCGCCTCTGCCTGTGGTCTTGGCCGTTTGATGGCAGCTGGTTTTGGCGGAACCGGGACAACACTCTCTCGTTCCTGCTTGGATCTCGTTGCTGGCTGTTCAAATTTTTCTTGTTTCTTTGCCTCTGCAGCTGGTGTTCCTTCATCAATTCGTCGACATTTGCTGCGTAAACTCCTATCCGATGGGTAGATCTTCCGTTTTGGAGCCGTGTTATAGTTGCTGTCATTTCTCCTGGCTCTCTTTGCATTCGTCGTACTTCTCCCTTCTTCATTCTGGGGGTGGTCGTGCTCTCTCTTTTCTGGTCGGTGGAACGGCTTCTTTTTTCTTGTTACCTTCAATTTTCCAACGGGGGAACTTTCTTTTCAACTGCTCCTGTCTAGTAATGGCTTGCCCTTGTGATTGTCGTTGTTCCACCTCTGGAGCTTGTGCCTGCCGTGCCGGATCCTGCAAAAGATCTTTAAATATTGGCATTTTATTACGATTATAGAATGGTTTTATCTGGTCAATGTTTGCGGTGCAGGTTTCACCATTCCTGGCTTTTAACACCACTACAGCCTGATTTACTTTTTCTATGATATATGGTCCTTCAAATCGTGGATAAAATTTGGCAGTTTTATCTTCTGGTGCTGAAGAAAGTGAATGCTTAATTTTTAACACTTCATCCCCTACTTTATAAGTTACTCCCCGTCGTTTCATATCGTAATAAAGCTTCTGTTTTCTCTGTGCTACTTCAGTGTTCTCTTTTGCTTCTTTAATTAATTTTTCTATATCGCCCATTTTAAATTTTGGGGCTCTTTGTTGAACATAAAATAATTTATCTAATGGCGTTATAATCTTTCTGCCTAAAAATAACTCAGCAGGAGTTTTGCCCGTCGTATCATGTTTTGCGGTCCTAAGGGCGAAAGCTAATTCATTGACATAGTTATCCCAGCTTTTATGAAAACTTTTAACATAACTACGGATAATTTTCGCTATATTTCTATTGACCCGTTCCGTTATATTTGATTGCGGCCGATACGGGACCATTTTTAAATGACGTATGCCCAGTTTTTGGCACATGTCTTCAAATATATTACTTACAAATTGAGGACCATTATCCGATATAACTTTTAGGGGCGCCCCGTATTTTAAAATATATTTATTTAAAATAGAATCAGTAACTAATTTCGCGGAGGCTCGTTTTAAGGGAACAATTTCGGTCCACTTACTAAAATAATCAACCATAACAAGGAGATAGCGACTTTTATTTAACTGACTTTTTGGGAAAGGGCCCAATAAATCGATGCCAATTATTTCATTTGGAAATTCGGATTTAATGCTATTTAGAAACCCGGCCGGGCGGAAATTAATATAATTAACTGCTTGACATGTTGGGCAGGACTGGACATACGCCCTTGTTAACTTTTGCAGCTCAGGAAAATAAACTGCTTCGCGTACGCGTTGGATGGTTTTTCAAATACCAGCATGAGAAGCTAAAGGGGAGTCGTGTAACTCCTGCAGTATATTTAATCTAAGACTAGCTGGGATAACAGGTCGAAATTCGTTGTTGGAATTCGTAGTTTTTGTATAAAATAATAGACCATCTATTAGTTCGTAATGGGCCGCCCTATTTCTTATCGCCACAATATCTTGGTGGCTAAAATTTTCAGGATCCTTTTAAATAATCATAAATGTTTTTAAATTCAGGATCCTTACCCAGTTCGGTTATTACAGTTTCTCGGGAATGTATCGTACATGCTGTGAGCATTGCCACCTTTACAGTATTACCTTCTTCATCTATTTTTATTCTGGATAGGGCATCTGCTACGACATTTTTCCTTTCCGGGGTTGTGCTTGATTACCAGATTATATTCTTGTAACTTGAGTGCCCATCTTATTAACCTTGGGGATAAGTTTTTTTCCTGAGTACAATCTAGTTACCGCCGCCGCATGATCAGAGTACACTGTTATTGGCGCCTTTCCAAAATAGACTCGGAACTTTTGCACTGCTAACAGAACTGCAAGTGCCTCTCTCTCAGTCGCGGAATAATTTCTTTGTGTTTGATTTAAAGTTCTACTAAAAAATGCCACGGGCTGCTGATTTTGCGAAAGTACCGCTCCCAACGCATAATCCGAAGCATCCGCTGAAATTTCTAAATTCTCATCGTTCTCAGGAAATTTCAAAACAGGGGCTTGCGTTAATACTTCCTTTAATTTTTCGAAAGCATTATTGGCTTCGGCCGTTCACGAGAATCTTGTTTTCCTTTTTAGTTTTAACAATGGTTCAGCAATAGCTGCAAAATCTTTTATAAAGGACCTATAATATGAACAAAGTCCTAGAAAAGAAGACTGCTTCTTCGCCGTATTTGGCGGCGGATACTTTTGCACGGGGATTATTTTTGATTCGTCTGTCTCGATTCCTTTCTGAGATATTTTGTAACCTAAGTATTTTAATTCAGGGGCTGCAAATTTTCACTTTTCGACATTAACTTTTAGACCGGCCTCATTTAATAATGAAAACACCTGTCTTAAATCCTGTACATGTTGGTCCAGATTATCACTAGTAATAATGATATCGTCTAAATAGATAAATGTGGTCTTTCCAAGAGAAGGCCTCAGCACAATGTCCATACATCACTGAAACGTTGCCGGTGCCCCTGAAAGGCCAAAGGGCATACGCAAGAATGCATAAGTGCCAGACTTGGTTATAAAAGCAGTCTTAGGCACATCTTCCGGTTTAACCCCTATTTGAAAATAACCAGTCGTTAAGTCTAACG